CCAAGCTTGCTGGAGGCTTCTTAGAAACCAAAGTAAAATTGAATTGACTGGTAAAGCTGAAAGAAGATGCTGGAAGAAGAATCCCCTGAACTTTTGGGAGGATCTAAGTGAGGCAGGGGAGCTAAGAAAGGTCATCAGATTATCAGGGGTTAAAAACAACTAGAAGAGATCCTTTCTCCATCTCAGAAGTACTTGAGTCATCTTCATCTTACAGAGCACTGAGTCACATCTCCAGAAAGTCCAGAGCCGAGGCAGAAAGCTCCCGTGTGCTGCTGCTGTAAGAGATGGGAAGACCGAGGGTGGAACAGTAACTGCTAAGATTCAGCAGGGGAAATGGAAAATTTAAGCAGCTTTAGGATGTAAGGACTGTGGAATTAGGAAGGGCATTTGTCAGTAAAATTAGGTTCTCTTGCAATTTAAAGCAGTCCTGTAAAATGGGTAGCGTTAGCAGTTCGCAGGGTAGCTGAATTGGCTGTGTTCACTGTTAGCATGGAGACAGTTCAAACCACTTCTCCATGTCCCATTTATTTGCCTTTGACATTATCTCTGTTCTGTGTGCTTCATTGTGGTGCCAAGAAAATTAGGGTAAAAATCTCATCCATCACAGAAACATTAACTAAGTGGTAGGGCAAACTGGAAGGCTTTTAAAAGACAGTCACTTCAGCAATAAAAGGGTGTAATAATGCTGCGAGAATGAAAATGGAAAATCTGAATTTTTTTGTGAACTTGTGCAGTCCGATGTTCATGTGTGGTTGTTCATTGCTGTTTCCTCTGACCACCACAAAACATTTCCTGAAATTAATGAATAAGCCATTATGAGGAGTAGCTGGTGGAAAATGGCGTGACCAGAGCTATTCACCAATTCCACTCCATCTGCTCAGCGTTATCAACTTGTCAGTGGAAGAAACTTCTGTTTATGCAGGGAGGTTTCCGGAAACTGGAAGTTTAAACTGGAGTTAAAGTTAGAATTATCGTGTGGATTTGGTAATTATGAGGTTAAGAGAGATAAGGGTTTGGGGGAAAAAAAAAGCCCACAGAAGCTACTGAGAGACTTCAAAAAACTTCAAATACTAAGAAATAAGTAGCTGAACCTAAAAGAGAAAGTAGAAATATTTTGGGGAAAACCTTTATAATATTTTCGAGATCAATCAGAATACGAATAAATTTGGATGGAACTATTCAGATATCAAACGAAATTAGAGTGAATTACACTGAAACCGTGATTTAACTTAATTCTTCTCCGTCTCCCCTGCTCCCTCTGCTGTCACGGAGTGGCTGTTGCATCTGTCTGCTCCGGCTCCACTGCACCAGCCTCTGAGCAGCCTGTGGCATAAAGGGAGCCACTCACACGCTGGCGGTATCGAAAAGCAATATTACTAAAACATAAGACATTAGTAAGGATTACAGTGAGTCTGTTAATAATTTACTCCCTCCACACCCATTTAGAAATATTCATATACCGCAGACAGTATCATTCAACATTAGCATATTCTTAAGTTTCTTATTTTTAAAAGGACCTTTTAAAAGGTCCACACAAGTGAAAAGATTGCAGGAGTAGATGTCTTTTCTAACAGCTTGCTTCTAGCTTAATCGGAATCTACAGTGGTCTGTTCCTGGCATCTTTGTTACCCAAATCTTTCACTGCAGAAAAAACCCTCGGGTTTATCGCTGACCTTCATTTTGGCTGGGGTAGCAGTGACATCCAGCGGTCTACAGAGAAAAAGAAATTTGCTCATTCTTTCTACCACAGCGCATCACAGTAAAGGCATCGGAAGGTGGCTGGGACCCCTTGGCATTCCCTTCTCCCTGTGGGTATTTGCAAATGGCGCCACTGCAGGCAGTCTGGCAGCCGTGGGAGCGGGTAACCCACGCGGGGAAACACAAATGCAGCGCAGGAAATGAACTGCAAACACCCTCGGAGGCAGGCCATCCTTCTAATGGCCTTAAAATGACACCCCAGATAGGAAATGTAATTGGTGTTTCTAAAAGTTCAAGCAAACAGCACCTTCCTGTATTACACCAACGTTATTGACTTCACAGCATTGTCCTCAAATTTTTATTAACCCTGGTTTTGTATTGACAAAAAGGTGAATGGGCTTACAAACAAGGGAAAGTTGATTGAAGAGAAATTACCTTGTTTCTCAAGCCCAGAATAAAAAAACTTTCATGGTTTACAGTAACCGCTGAGTGCTGAACTATGATGTGATATCTGATGCACTGAGAAGTGATTTAGATTTCGTGTATATGTTGTGCTAAAGAAAAAGATAAAAACATTAAAAGCATATAAGGAACTAGGGCGGCAGAGGTACAATAAAATCAAGAACTACGAAAAAAAATTTTTCTGTGAAGATTCTACAAATAATCAAATGTCAATAACCAACAGTCAACCCCAACCAATCCCAGGGTTGGCTTAAAAAAAATAAACAGATTTATCAATAATAATTCCTCAGAACATTTTCAAATACCATTTGGCGCTTTTGTGGCTCCAAATTTTGATTTGATCTCTGAAAGACAGGGTTAGAAAATTTTGAAATGTGGGTAAGCTTTAGTAACTTTGTAACCAAGAAGTACCCCGTCCAGCTAGCAGTTTACGAGAACTAGCACTGTTAAAACACGCTCTCCCACACCTAGGGCTGACATGGTTACCGTATATACGCCTTTACTGAAGTTGACAGAGCAGAGAACTTTCAGTCTCCATAAGTATTTTAATAAACACCCTCAAAAGGACTTCATGAATCTTTTTAAAAATGTTTCAACACTAAAGCAACATTCCATCATGTTGTAGCATGAGTGATTTGTGTATTTAACAGCCATTATACTTAAGCTAAACATTATAAATGCCGGACATGATGGTTTCCTGCTTCTCTTTCCAAGATCACAAAACACAGTCCCTTCGGGTGGGCTGACAGCAGGGCTGCAGCCCCGGGGCCACCATCTCGGGCTTCCTGCAGTCTGACTGCAAAAACCAGCGGCCAGCTCGGTTGGAGTGGATAGAATTCAACTGCACGTATGCAAAACTGTATGTAGATGAAGTAGATTCTCTGCAGCTTTAGGAGGTTCTAAAGGCACTTATCTTCAATTTCTTGGAATTTAGCTGGCTTCCACCCCGTTCTCCAAGGACTGTTCATGCCTTTCACATTTCATGTTTATGTGAAGTGTATAAATAGCCCTTGGAACAAGGCCTGAAATCCAGGTCTAAGATCAGTACCTTCTTTGCCCATCTCTGTGCAAGACGCATTCTCTGCTAGTGCCGAAGCTTTCCAGTTACTACTAGAAAGAAAACTCCAGAATCTATCGGACCCGTGATCCAGAATTCTCCTCCTGTTCCAAGATCTTTGTTACCAGTAGAATCTTGCAACTGTGAGAAACAGTAACGCACACCCATTTCTTTTAGCATCTTTTTTGTTTCCTACCACTTGCATTCCAAAACAACAATATGCCTACAGCAGACAAGTGGCCACTTACAGAATGATTTGAACTTTGAAGGTTTGTAGAGGAAGAGTTTTAGGTGCCTTGTGTCATGATACCGGTACTTCTCTCAGTGGTGAAACCCAGGACAAAAACCCCTCAGGCACAATTCATCATTTCATGGAGCAAACTCTTGGCAGCAGCCTGGCTGCCCTGGAGGCCATTCCAAGGAGCCCACCTCCAGTCAGTCTTTTACCTCCTTGAGCACCCAACAGCTTTTTGACACCACCTTACGGGCATACTCACCCAGGCAGCTCAGAACATGGACAGAGACAACACAGTTCTCTGAAGCCGTCCACGAGTCCTAGGAGAGCCTTGGTAAAGCCTGTATCACATAGTCAATTTGCTGTAGAGTTTGCTGCTCTACTCTCCAAACTCCTGTTCCTTCCTCCATCCCCCAAAACAGTCAAAGACAAACTTCAGCTGATAGTAGCACACGAGCCCAATTTCCATTTAGTTTTCAAACAAACATCTTGGTAAACATACAAATCGCTCAAAATCCTCATTGCTAGTGTTGTCATCTGTGAAGAACACACTCTGGAGAGCACATAAATATTTGTAGTTAAAATTAGTTCTGCCTGGACATAAATATATATAAAAAAAGTCATGATTTCATGATGCAATTTTAAAGCCTGCATAACTGATTTAACCAAGGCTAGGCCTCAGGGTTTGTGAAGTTTTAGTTTTTGGCATTTATGTTTCACACAGTCGGCATCATGTATGACCCCTTTTTGCACACAGCTGAACAATATAGATGGGTAGGCACCGGCCCACAGAGCAAAAATAGGCATATTACCAAAGTTTCAGAGGTGCAAACTATCCCTGCCCTCAGTACCAACAATACATGAAGGTTTCACTAATTTTAAGTTCAGAAGAAAGCAGAATGACAGTTCAGACTAACCTGCTGCCAGGACAAAAGAATCCTTCCTTTTAATTCTTCTGCTAGCCTAGTACATTCTAGCCCACCTGTTTTTCCAAAGTTACCTATCCTTTTATATACACCAGCTAATGAAGGAATTGCAACACTTGATAATCCTCTTCAAGTGCAATGTTAAAATTTTGTTTAGACTTTGAAACATCAGCACATTTGAAAAATTCATGCTACAGCCTAGGTTCGCAGATTTGGCTACGTATGCCACTGGCTCTCACCGATCATATTGTGCAACGGTTCCTCTATTTTCAGAAGTAACAGCCCAGCCATTCTACTGCAGAACTCAAGCCAGGATGGAAACTCTCCCTAATCTGCTGTTACTGTTTCCTCTTTGTTTTTTTTTAGAATCTTGAACACAAGAAGGAACTTGCCCTCATGCCACAATTATCGTTCGAGGTGAACACTGTATGTCTTCAATCTTCCTCTCAGGGTGCCACACAAAGAGGTGGAATATCTAGAGCCAATAGTTAATGAACAAGAAACTTTCTGGGTAGACAGAGTGGCATGTCTGGACTGCAGAATCTCAGAATAATCTAGACTGACAGGATTTAGTCTTCTAGAAACACAGATGTGTTTGGATGTTAATGAAAAAGCAAAGGCATTTCATTTATGTAAAGTTTTATTATCCTCCAACCTCAGCTGGTACTCCATTACTGCAGCCTTAGCAGAGTGTTGCTCCCCGAGGCAGACAGGTTTTCAACCGACAGCCTCTGACTGGAAACATCCAGGCCAGGTCAGATGTTAGACCCAGCTTTTCATTAATACAGTCAGACACAAAAGAGCAGTTGAAAACCTGACCACCTGAAAGGCTGCAAAGCAACAAAAAAAGATCCAAGAAGATTTTCATATTTTTCTATGTTTGAATACAGAATCTTTCCTCCAAGTTGATCACTAAATAGTTAAGAAGCAAATAAACTGCACGTTCAAGAAACAGATGCATTCTACATTTCAAGCTGTGATCAGAAACATGTGCAAGTATTTTTCTGCTTATGAAGCTTGTGGTTTTATCTTCTCAGCAGCTTCAAGGACAGATGGAAGGCTGACTTTGTCTCCAAATTCTTTCTCACGATGCTCCAGTAAAACACCCTAGTCAAAGACACAAGAGATAAATTCACACGCTAGTCTCACCATGGGAGATCAACTGATCAGCAACTGAACAATTCCAGAAATGAAACTTTTGGTCTAACAGGAGACATAAAAGCCTCCTAGATGGCCTGCAGTACCTGTTTTCCTGGCCCAATCACATATACTCCTCCCAAGGTGAATCCTTCTCCTTCCAGGTTACCACTATATCCACTTTTCCAAGCACGGAAGAAATTTTGCCAGACTCCAAGGCGGAAGAAGCCCGACATCATCATTTTTCGTCTGCGTGGACCATAGAAGCCTTTCTGCAGGGAAACAGAAAATACCCTAGCAAACAAAGTAAAAATGACTTTTCCTCCCAAATGAAATTCAGGAAACCAGCCAACCTTGTACCCAAGAAAGGCCGCAACACACAAAAGCTAACCAGGCACAGCTAAAAAGAAATTGCATGTGAACTAACCTCTTTAACGCACTACGTGACCACGTACCTCCACACAGCCAACCGGTGCTACCACCATTCATGTAGATTTCAAGCCGATCCACAGGCATCTAAGCCCCACACACACCTACATCCCTATTGCTGACAACAAGGGCGCTTTGTGACAGATCTCTTTTTTCTTATTTTTGAAGTATGTACAAAAAAAAATGCTGGTAAAGAGGTAACAGTGGTGCCAAGTCCTGCAACTTTATCAGCCATTTGTTTTTTAAGTCACCCGGATTCTTTCACACAGGCAGAGCGGGGAGTGAAAATAAAGGTATCTTCTAGTTGATTATTATGTGTTCTTCTTCCATCAGAAGCCAAATGATTTCTAAATGTGTCTTCTGGCTCAAGGAGTAAGCAGGGCTGTGGTTTTGTAGGACGTGAGACTGGCAATACAGCATGTGCCAGTGTACTGGCACAAACATCAGCAAGTCACACAGCCGGTGGAAGAAAGGAATACATATTCATAGGCCATACTGTTTACCTGTTAAAGGGGAGGGAAGGAATAATCCTGCAACAGGATGTTATCAGTGCATAGCTGCAGAACAGTTTGTAAGTTGAGCACGTTACATAAATATATAGAAAAGCAAAACTAATTAACTTCTTAAACTACAACACTACTAAATCCTTTTTCATTCAGACCGCATTCTAACTGTATTATTTATACAAGCTCTTCAGAGGACATTCATAAGCTTGTTTTTAAACAAAAGAACACCAACTTCACTCTACCTTTTCATCCAGAAAGATTTCTCCTTTGAAATAATGCTGAAAATCCTCCACTTCAGTCCCTATCTTCTCTTTAACAACAGCATAGAGAGGGACCCCCAGCTTGGACAGCTGAGGTTTCAGAGAGGAGAGCTCAGAAGCCTCCTAAGAAAAGAAAAAACAAACCCAAACATTTCAGGCAGTAGATGGAGGTTGGAAAGCTTCACCTTGAATTTCAAGAGCACCAGAAACTTGCATAAGTTCTAGCTTGTGGCGCAAAACAGAAACAGACCTGTAAACCAGACATTTAAGCTAGCTCTACTCCTAGGCAGGTCTTCTTTATATTTACTATCATTTTCTTCATTAAGCACAGAGGACAGAGATTTTTGAGCATTTACGAGGTAAAATATTAAAATCCTGGATAAAACATAGTTTTAACTCAAAGCTGCAGATATACCTTGCCTGTGCCAGGAGTGTTTAGAGAACAGTGAAAAGATAATGCCTGCACACCACTTGACTTGAACAGTGAAAACAATCAGGGAATACCTTCAGTATCCCAGAAGCAATACTGCTTTTTCTGGTCTGTAAGAGCTGAAGGTGTCACCACTTATCTGCTGGGTTTTTTGTTCTGCTGAAGGAATCTCACTTCCCACAGTTTTCACAAAGGCCTCCAAGGTTTCCAAGAGATCAGAGTGCACACCACAAATACATTTCTTCTCATCTCCAATGGAGAAAGGTCATTTTCACCAGACAAAACTCCCACAAAGAACTCCATACTTCAAAAAACGGACACATGAGCACCCTCAGCCACCTCACCGACATGCCTTAACTCAAAGGCTTACGGGGTATCTAGAAGTTACTGAGTATCAAGTAGCAGACAGATAGGGATGAACAGACAGGAGAAAAGATATCAGACAAAGACATCAGCAGGTGAAAGGTTAAGGGCAGCTTTCCAGTTCACTACTCTCTTTTTCAGAGGAAATGAAAAAGGATGGATCAGCATCAGAAGCAAACACGGAGTAGTGAGTGCGAGAGCTAAAGGATCACAGCTTACACTTGTTAGCTCTTTCCCCACTTTTCTGTTCCAAAAGTGCTGGTAATTATTTTCTGTTTTCCTTCAGCAAAAAGCCTTATGAGCTTTCTAAAAGGGAGGGGGGGGGTGTTAACAGCAATTTTGTCAGGGATTTTTTTATATAGTTCAAAACTCTCATAATCAACAACAAAAAAAAATTGTATTGTGACCTAGCATGTCTGAGAAGTGATGTTCCAGGCTAGTGCAGTGGAGTCCCCTGTAAGACCAGAAATTGCTGTCTCTGGAGAGACAGTGGTACCATCAAACCTCGATTAGCCTTTTGGAGAAAGGCACTTCAGCAGTTTGGTGGGGTTTATTTTGTGTCTCCTTACTTTTGGGAGGGGAAAGAGCAGGAATAATGTAAGAGCACAGTTAAGCTTTAAAATTCTCTAGACATTAGACTTCAAGCAGCACCTTTGGACTAGACCTGACTTGGTTTTCTGCACTGCTATTTAAAAATGATACAATAAGAGAAAGCAAAGAAGTCTATTTTTGTGGGCAAATTATAGCACATAACAGCTGTACAGCCTTACCATGGGGCTGTGACCATTTCATCTCGTCTATAAAACTGTTTTCTTTCATTTTGTGAAAAGCAGACAAGCACACCCTAGCCAGAATACTTTCTCTCTCCGCCAAGGCAGGGGCAACCCAAAAGAACAATTCCCATTTCAGTTTGTCCCTCTGATAGTTCAACTGTGGCTCTTCTGCTACTTTAGAATGCTTGAACTGATACCTACAAGATTTAGTAAGCCCATGGCACTTTGACAATGACTGGAGCACCAGATCACTACATGGCCAGATCCAGACCATGAAATGTAGAAGTGTAGTCCTGTTAAACATAGTCTATCCTAACTAACAAAAAAGGAATCTGATTACTTTGGATGCAGATGATGGAGATAAAAGACTCCGTATTTCTTAAGTCCACAGGCACCAGTCCTCGAGGATCCAAAGACATCATTCCAGTAGGGTTTGTGACATCCTTTGCAGTGGATGATGGAAGCATGCCCTCACCACTGGTATCAGGTCGGTGATCTATGAGGTACAACGGCCACTTTTCAACCCCACCACTGTGTCCAGGAAAGTATATATTCCTTCTCGGTGCTGTCAACAAGGACAAAGTTCAACACCCTTTCCAAGATGTAAGATAGTGGGAAGCAAGTGTATTTTGTCTCTTTAAAAAAAAACCCAAAACCCAAAAACCTACCACATGTAGGTTAAGAGATACGGCAGGTCACCTGTTTTGAACCATTCCACCAGCTCAGTCAGTGACAGTGCAGAAAGAAGCAGCTTTCATACCATGGCAAAACATTTCTTAGGAGAAAGGTAAGAGTCAACTCACAAAAATGCTTTCAGTATGCAACAATCAAGAATAACTTCAGTTCAGACAATTTAAAAGCTTTTTCAAACTTTCACAGTTAAAATACAAAACAATTCCTTGCCCTAATTAGTTGATCAGTAGTGTGATTGCCTCTGTTAAAAATCTGAAGTTTTGCACCAAAACTAAGAACTAAAAAAATAAATTTCTTTCTCCTGATTTTTTCCTGACCAAAAAATACCACAATTCTTTGAATCCTGCTTAGGAAGTTAGCATTAAAAAAAACCCCAAATCATTAATGAATTCCTGTCAGACTGTATGCGAAAGGCATCAAGTCAGGCACATAGCGCGTTCTCCTCCTGCCTACGCTACACCTGTTCAGAGAGCAAAGTACTTCAACCTTTAACCTTCCATGAATTCCACACATACTTAAGCAGTTACTAATCATGGGAGCATATCCCTTAATTACGTGGTTGCAATATTAATTACTCTGTGTTACAGAGTGGTGAGTAACAACATAACAGCTATGTTTCCCCACAGCTATGAGAAAAATCATGGCCAAGGTGCAAGTTATGGCTGTTCCCAGGCACACGGTACATTCAAATTGTATTCTAAGTGTCTCCTCCCACCTCCACCCAAGAAGCCTAATGCCAATTTGAGGATCCAGTTCTGTTTCCTAACCCACCTTGTTATGGAACAGTAACTCCTCGTCTTCGAGCTCTTTACCTTCCTGCCTCACATGCAGCATTCAGAACAGCAAGGGACTCCCCTTTATGCACATCTCTTTTTTGCTGATGAGCTTTATCTGCTGGCTTTCTGCCAGCCCAGTCTTGGGCTGCTTTTGACCAGAGACGACCTGGCTCACAGAGATTTATTTTGGTCATATGGAATACAACTAGCTCACAGGACTCGTTACCAATTGGATTTTGTGTAATCTCCCTTTCCAGTTATCATGGGCTAGGTCCCTGGCAGATGTAAAAATCATCTACCCATTGCCTTCGGAAGGAAAATGCTCAGGACCTAGACTATACAAACCAGTTGCAAAGAAAACTACGTATGCTGTTAGCTGGCTACCAGTTTGGGCTAGGACACAAGACCATTAAAATACTTCAGATGTATCTGGAGACTGTCCTATACACCCCCTCCTTTTATTTAAAGGGAATCTATGCAAGTAGACCTCAGCTCTTCCTAGTTAATCCCCAAGCCCAGCAAGTACCTCTCTGCACAAAAAGCATCCAGGTCTTCGCACAGCCATGACCACTGCACCATTCTTCTTCCACAGTTCACCTGCTTTGAATGTTTTTTGTTCTGTATATACAGGAGAAACATCATCAACAATGGTATCAGCCATTCTTGTTTATAACGATTAATGCTTTAAGGACCAACACAAAGCATGGCAAAGAATTCCACATTCCAATACAGTTCTATCAGAAAAAAAATTGATATGCATAACAGGCCATTATTGCTTTATTGATTTTTAGAAGTGTGTCATGTTTCATCCAGAAATATCAGTTTTGGTTGCTTTTCCTTCACCAGAATTATCTGCCATCAAGGACACCCAACTATGCATTATAACTAGGAACGACTAAGAAAAACTCTTTCAACCCTGGCCCTACAAAGGTTCTTATAAAAGCCCAATTATCAAATAATGTGGGCCGAAACATCCAGAATCTTACCTGATCCCAAAGTTTTTAGCTCTATCTCCTCCAAGAACTCCAATGTAGCCTTTTCTGGCTTGGACAAAAATAAGTCAGTGTTAGCAAGGACAATCCCTGTCACAGCTGCACCAATGGCTCCGAGACCAACAGACCACAGGCCCATGGTGAAGATCCCAAAGTCAGGCAGGAGGGACATTTCTGGAAAGAGAAAGAAGCAAGCAGCTCTAACACTGGACATTGATGATGCCAGACAAGCAGGAACCGGATTAAAACAACAACTAAAAGCTCACACAGATATTTTTAGTTTGACTGGAGATGATCTGTATATTTATTATTTATTTATGTCAACTGATCTAGGCTACATTGCAGTTCTGCGCCTGACCCACATCAACACTATCAACAAGATACTCTCATCTTTTCCGGCTACCGGACTGACAAAAACATTCTTGATTAAAGTGCTCAGGTGCAACAGGGAGAAAGATGATTGACGTATATGCACGTAATAAAAAGCCTCTGACAAGATGACTTCAATGTTAGCCAGTAACTTAAATTATTACAGTAAGACAGTGACTTCTTTCATAAAAGAAGCATTTGTAGATTAAACGGGTCCCCCCCCAGTAATGTACATTAAACAGTGAATTTTACAAATATACCACAGAAGACTTTAAAAAAAAAAAACAAAAAACAAAAAACACACAACTATATCTGGTTCACCATAACTGGTAACGTTTCCTGTTCCTTACAGTTCCACACTAGGACCAGAGCAGCCACCAAACCAAAATTAGAGCTTATCAGTCATGCCTGCAGACAGAAACATGTAGACCTTCAACCATTTTATTAGACACAGAGATCCAACATTACAAACACGCCCTGGACAGCACCTTCTATATGCTAACCAATTTCCACTCTTGCTAAAGCAGAAATGGCATCAGGAACAAACGCCTTCAACTCACACCCATCAGTTAGAACTGATAACATTGCAATGGAGGCCATTACAGACGCTTGCTCAAGTCCTGAGGTACAAACACTGCTTGTCGTTACCGGTGACTCTAGTTCCGTAGCAATTTATTTAACCACCACCCAGCCACAAACCCCCCACAGCCCAGTCCTAACCCTCGCACGTGTTGCCCACGCCTGGACAGGGCTGGCAGCCTCCTTCCGGTGAGGCAGCAGCAGCTATGAGGATGCAGGAAAGCACACTTAACCCTGCCTCAAGGACAAAATTCAAGATCCAGCTCCGGGCAGTAACTGGTGCAGGAACCATTGGGAGTTTTGGCAGTATAAGAAGTCACTGCACACTTACAACAGCTATTTGTTACAAAGGGCTGTAGGTTTGCAGTCACACAACTTTCGTATTACACAACACAGAGAGGCAAGTTTTTTCCAGTGCCATCTGCAAAACCCTGTTCCCTGATAGACTGTTTCAGTAAATATTGCTGTCTGTATATACTTTTATACGGGAGAGGTTATTTTTTTCTCTCATAAATATAGGAAAACATTACCATTTTGAGCTGTGACTGGCAATAAACCAGAGACACACACAATCTTTATCCCCACAGCTAGTTGTTGCCAGACTTCAGAAAGTAAGAACTAGGAATAGCTCCTCGCTTTTGTGTCAGAGCCACAGTGCCCAGAATTTTCTGGGAGAAAATCCCTTTCCATCCTTAAAACTAGCTCCAGAATACTACCGACTAGCAAATACAACCAACCGCCTACCTGCAGAAATAGCTACAAAACATGTCAGAAAAAAGATCGCTTTGTTCTTTTAACAGCATGCTTGGTTCCAAGGAAGGTACTGCAGTATCTAGAAACGCCAGCTGTCCGTGATCCCGAGCAGGAAACAAGGCCAGTTTACACAAACATAACGCAGATAAGAGAACAGATCCTACCCCATCTCACCACTTCTTTCTGTCCAAGGGAAACCTTCCTTGACCATTATCTGCTTTCTCTACATACTTTTTACAAACATAAAGTCATATTATAACAACAATTTTTTGATATCTGCCTCTGACTCACATCAGAGACCATCCTGACCCCAGCATTTGAAATGATAAAAATGTAACTGAAGATGTGTTGCCGTAATGCAGCAACGTTGCGTTAAGATTTCAAATCTCTGTAGCATACCCAAAAGGTATAGCCCAGCTCCCTCTGAGTGTTTGATTATTCAACTGCTCTTCGGACTCAAACTTTATCTGGTTAGTAACTGTTCTTCTCTTAATTCTCAGCTACAAGAGGAGAGAGGGGGTAAAAACCAAGTATTAATTGCTTGTACATGTCATTTCTGTACAAAAATGTTGCCTAATTTGTGGCAACCGATTAATGAGTAGTTCTCACATAGCTTTTTATTTTTATTAGCATTATTGTTACTGTTAGCATTCTTAGCATGACTAAAAGCCAGCTTCCACTCAGCTGTAGCTGATAACAAGATCATTAAGCTTAGCCAACACATCTCTTTAGTTTAATTGGACTCTTTAGTCTCCACTCAGTGACAAAAAGAAAAAGTTAGATATGCTAAGCTTTTGCTACTTAAATACATAGGAGAATGGAAGCAGCAGCTCTACGTGGTGATGCTGAAATTCCTCCCCTGCTAAGCAAACACCATAGTGAGCCACTTTGAAAAGTACATACGGGAAATAGCAGCCAGGATTATCAAAACATTTGCTAACCAGGCAGGCTGAGCCCTGACACATCCATGTCACCAAACTCCAAGTGAAGAGGCTGAACGGAAAGCAACTGAGCATTTGCCGCTAGCGGCTTCATCTCCATTTCGCTGCTGTTTATCAAGGAAATCTGAAGCTCAAGGCAACTTCACCACCCTCCAGCCCGCCTTGGCATACAAACGCTACTGCCTCGTGACCAAACTCTGAGAGCTTTTAAACATCAAACGACAGCCCGCGATAGAGACACAGCAGTGCACCCCTCAGCCGTAACCCCTGGAGATAAGGGACAACAGGGCCCCCCCCAGCCACAACCCACAAGGAGAAGGGACAGCAGGGCACCCCCTTATCCATAAACCATAAGGAGATGGGACAACAGGA